GGTGATAGGTACTGAGGTATACAGGCCTTTAACGTAAGGATTTCTGTTACTTTGGCTAGGAGCTGTTTTTGCATTTGTCGTATCTATAGGCCCCAGAGGCTGCAAACTACTCGAGTGCACTTACTTTTTCCTCCCTCTTTTCTTTGTGGCATCCCTTTGTTCTGGTCCTCAGAGAGAGTCCTGCAGCTCTCTTAGCCCAACGGTTACTGTTGCTGGTGCCTTGTTGGTGTGCTGCGCGTGCGGCAAGGTGGGGAGGGGTGGGCTGTTCCCTTATCTTCTGATCACGGATGGGATCCGGCCCTCAGAGCCCTGGTCCCTTCTCTGGCCAGTGTTCCCAGTCTATTTTCTTGAAGCCCTCTCCCTTGTTGACCACAAATTTATTTATTTTTCCTTAGGTGAGACCAAAGGCTGGAGCGGACTGCAGTGGGGTGGAGTCCCCTTCCTTCAGCCTGCAAGAGGTTTGAGAACAGTCCTCTGGGGAAGCCCCTACCTGAGAGGGAGCCTTTGTTTGGGTGAAGAAGGCTCTGGTGAGCTTCACAATGGCCCTTGTTCCTCTCCCCCTGCCAGGGCCACAGGGGGATCTTTCTCTGATCCTTTCCTTGAAAAGGTGGTGTGGTTCCTGGGGGCAAAGCCTCCAANGGATCTTTCTCTGATCCTTTCCTTGAAAAGGTGGTGTGGTTCCTGGGGGCAAAGCCTCCAAAACAGTGGGCCCCTTTCACTGCCAGCCTCCCAGAGTCATACTGCTCCTGCAACAACTTGTCAAAATTTCTATCCAGGTGTTTCTAGTAGTGCTTGGCAACTCTGGACTTCTGCTCCAGCCCACAGATCTGGGTGGCTGTATTTCTCTGAATGTGTCTGTCTCTCCAGGTTTCAGAGAGGTCATTTGCCCTGCGACCTCAGTTCTCTGATAGGTCAAGGAAAGTAATGATTTCAGTTTGTGCAGCTTTGTCATGTTGAAGAATGGGAATGATAAGTTCCAAGGTGTTTACATGCACTAATGAAAACAAATTTCCCCTCCCAAAGGTGGTACGTGTAATGTGCTTGTACAAGCATGGACTCCAGACTGTCAACATCGGGGCCTCAGGCAGCTGGG